GAGAGAGAGAGATCAGTCACAGTGCCCAGTTCCCTGCATTCGCTCCTCCAAGGATGCGGATTTCATGGGGAGAGCGCACAGGCGTGCATCAGGCCTTCGAGGCGGGTTTGTGTCTTGCGCTACAGAGCCCTGTGGTCGCTGCAACCGGCTCGGCTTCCCGGAACGCAGCCCGGGAGGCGTTCCAGCAGGGGACGAGGCGCCAGCTGCAGTGCTTGGGCTCCCCCTTAAGAGCTCGTCTGGAACCGCAGAGCCGGGCTCAGCTGCCGCTCCCCCACTCCGCGCGGGGGGCCGAAAGCGCCTGCCACGGCCTCCTCGTCTGCCTCCCCACCCTAAATAAAAACCACACTGGGCCTAAAGCTCCTCGGGAAAACATTTTCACCTCACCCCTCTGCACCGGAGCCCTCCAGATGCACCCTGCCTATCATCCCCAGGCAGCACGATGGGAACTGTAGTCTGGCCCAGCTGGGTGGGGAGGGCTGGGCATCCGATAGCTCTGCCCTGAGGCGGAAGGCCGACCCCCACAATTCCACAGGGAGGCAGACGGGGAGCCCGGGTGGTGCTGCGTGTGCGTGCGCACCCAACACGGGCTGGCAGCCTCGGGGGGGGGGAGCCATGTCAGTCGGCACGCGGCCGCCGAGCGGCAGCAATTCAGAGGAGCAGAGATCCTTCGTAAGACCCCCACTGCCCCTCCCTGCAAGGTGCCCCCCACCTCCAGAAGGAAACCTTCGTAGCAGAGGTTGCTGGGACTGGGCACCCAGGGGCCACACTTACCAACACCATTTTAATGATGAGGTGTTTCTCGTAGGCACTCTGCAAGCGGTAATTTTCTGCAGCGAAAAGAGACGGGAGTCGAGGGGACCGGCGTGGGAGGCGGGGCCCCAACTCCCCAACACGGGTGCAGGCATCCCAGCCCATTCCAAGTCCCCCCACCTAACCAGCGCCTCTTCCGGCTCCCGCCCGTGAAGGCACAGGCGCTGACGCGTCTGGCAAAGAGCCCCGCTTCCCCCCGCCCGGCACCTTGTGTGGCACAGCTGGCCCATGGGACTGATGGGAGCTGTAGTCCAACACACCCAGAGTGTCCCAAGGTGGAGGACTCCACTGGATGCCCACGCATCCGGACGGAGACGCGTCCCCTGCGCCGCTTCCTCGTCACGGCCAGGGTGGCTCTGCTCCGGGAGGCGTCTGGGGCCAGCCCAGGGGTGACCCTGCCAAGCATGGGGCCACGATCCCGGGCCCGAAGAGCGCAGGCAGCCACGCGCTTCCCGCCGGCCGCTCGGGCCCTGCCAGGCGCCTGGTGAGCCGGGCCGATCGCGCGAGAGGCGCAGGCGCGCCCGCGGACACGCACCCATGTCGTTCAGCCAGTAGGCGATCTTCTTGTAGAGCTCGTCGCAGGCGGTGACGATGACGGCCAGCACGATCTTGGGCAGGAACCGCACCACACGCGGCAGCTCCTTGATGCTCATCACGAACTCCTGGCCAGGTGGGGAGAGAGATGGGCTGGGGCGGGCGGGCAGCCGGCCGGCCCCCTGCGCAGGCTGGACAGCGGCCGCAGGGCCCCCATCGGGTCCGGGAGTGGGGAGGGGCACAGAAGCCACGCTGCTGCATCCTTCCGTGCGAGGGGGCGCGGGCCGAAGCCCCTGCGGGGACTGCTCCGTCAGGCGGCAGCCGCCTGTGGCTTCCTCTTTTCCAGCCCCAGTGAGACCGAGGGCCAGCACCGGGACAAGCGTTTGGTGTGGGGGCATTTGGGGTGCCTCCAAAGGGCATGGGACCCCTCTGGTCGACGGGGAAGAATGAGGGGAACTTGTGGGGTTGCAGCTACCCTTGGGCCGACCCCGGGAGCACAGCTATGGGATGGGAGGAGGATTCACCACACCAGCCCTGCTGGGGACATAAGGGTCCTGCCGGATCAAACTGACAGTCTGCCAAATCGAGTCTATCAATGGGCTGGCCAGATGCCCTCGGGGGCAGAAGGACGACCAGCTGCCCCTCGCCAGGCAGGGCCGTCTCTGCCCACGGCGAAGGCCAGAGCTCCACGCAGCCCTTTGCAGGCTGGGCTGTGCCCCCACCCCGCTCGGCGGTCCTTTAGGGGCTTCTTGGCTATTGCACATTTTTCCCAGTTCTGAAAGCCCCTCTGCATGGCCCCTTGTGGCAAGAGGAGGAAGCAAAAAAGAGCAGATGCTTGGAGCATACCCCCCCCCCCACCAATGGGATGCTGTGAAGAGAACCTGGAGGGAAAGCTGAGGGTTGAGAAAACCCTAAGCCAAGGCATAAACCTGTAGATAAGGTAGAGTGCCCTAAACAATGGAGGCTCGTCTTTTCTCACATCTGCCCTCTGACCCGGTGGCCATCCATGGCACACATCAAACCCTACCCCTGCATGCATCCCTGTGGCCCCGACCCCCCCTCACCTGCAGTTCGAAGCAGCCCAGCATGGCGAGGAAAACGAAGGAGAGGCAGAAAACGCAGACGGGCAGGCTCACCAGGCACTGGAAGAGCAGCCGCTTCCACGGGGGGTAGAAGAACTCCTCCGCGTTGGTGACCGGGCTGACCCGCTTCACCCCCTGCAAGGCGAGGAGAGATTGACGAGGGCGCCTTGTGGGGTGGGGGCAGCACGAATCCAGGGCACCCACCAGCTTCCTGGTTCCCTGAGGGAGTCCGGGAAGGCAGGGGAACCCGGCACCCGTCCCATGGCGAGGGCATCACCAGGCGCCGAAAGCGTCTACGGGGCACACGGCTGCCCACAACGCCGATCCCGACACGCACATTTAAAAATGATTATGGGGCCGAAGGGAATGTCACCAAGCGGGCGGTTAATTTCTTTTCCAAATTCCCCTCCAGCAGAGCCAGGCCTCCCTCCTCCGCAGCTCGCCTCTGCCTGCCCCGACTCGCCTTGCAGCCGGGCTGCCCAGCTGTGTGTTGGGTGGGTCACGCTTACCCCGCAAGCTGCATCGAGTCGGCCTCTCCTTGTGCATCCCAACGAGACCTGAGCCTCAGACAGGGCTTGCACGATGTGAAACCTCTGGCTTGGGCTACAACGCCAGTGAGCTGGAGGGCCGCGCACGGGGTAGTCACGAAAGGGCCCTGCCCTTGGCATCCCTGGCCAACTCCCTGGGCACCCCGTGACCCTGCGTTGCCTCTCCCCTCTCATCGGAGCTGCACCCCTCTGTTCCCACCCCCTCCATGAAAGAAATTAGGAGAGTAAGTACCCGGAGGAGGGCTTTCTCTGCGGTGGCGCCCAACCTATGGAATTCACTCCCCAAAGAGGTCCGCCTGGCACCGTCGTTACTGGTTTTTCGGCGCCAGGTCAAGACCTTTTTATTTAAACATCATTTCAATTGTTAAAACATATGATCTGGCCAGGGCAACTTCTTCTTCCTTCTCTTTCTCCTCCTATATTTTTATTTTATACTGATAATTTTAATTTTATATTTGTAAATCAATGTATTTTTTGTATTTTTGTATTTAATGGTAATTTATTATGTACTATTGTATTTCAATGTATTTTATCATGTTGTAAGCTGCCCCGAGGTTTCGGCAAGGGGCAGCATAGAAATGTTATAATAATAATAATAATCACTGCCTTGTTGTGGCGAAGGGGCTGTGTAGTGCAATGAAGCGATGAGCTCTGCCATGCGGGGGCAAGATCCCATCACAGGGCCAAACCTCCACCCCCTGAGACCACCCTGTGGTGGCCCATCCTGAGAACTGCAGTCTCCCGATCCCATCATCCCCTTCATGGATCGCTGCCTTGTTGTGGCGAAGGGGCTTGTGCAGCGCAACGAAGCAAAGAGGGATGCCATGCAGGGGCACCCAAGGTGGACAGGCCATAGCAGGGAGCTCTGGCCAAAGGTGACCCCCTGGAGAAGGAAACGGCCGCCCACTCCAGGACCCTTGCCATGAAACCCCCACGGACATTTGTTGTTAATCGCGAAGTCATGTCTGACCCATCGGGACCCCATGGACAACACTCCTCCAGGCCTGCCTGTCCTCCACCATCCCCGGAGTCCACTCAAGCTCACAGGTGGCTGGATGGGGTCACTGGGGCAGCTGGTGGGAGCTTAAGGGGACTCTGGGGGGCGGTGGAGGACAGGCAGGCCTGGAGGAAGGTTGTCCATGGGGTCGCGATGGGTCGGTCACAACTTCGTGACTAGAAACAATTTCTACCCCTCCTCTTCCTCATGAGGAGCCTGCGGGTCTGGAGGGCCCCGCTTGGCCAGCCCCCGACAGATCAGGTGGCACCCCGCTTCCTCTTCTCTGCCCCGTTCTTATCACTCTGCTCCCCTCCTGCCACGCCTGCGTTGTTCCCGCCCGGTCAACCCTCTGCCATCTCCAGTGGCCCTTTCAGCGCAGGTCCCTCTCCCCTCCTCCCTCTTTTGCCCCTGGGGAGAAATAACCCCTTTCCTTGCGCAATTAAGCTGAGAAGACCTTTCATTACTGGACATGAATGGAAGTTTTTTCATAGGAAGCTCAGAAGTGGCCTTGAACCGAGTCCGATTGGCCTAGCCCCGTATTGTTGACACGCTGCCCCCGAGCTACGGCCTTTCCTTCAAAACTAAAGCAAGTTGCTAGTCCCTGTGGTTTTGAATCAGACGCTGATTAGAACAGGAACAGTGGAGGCAGCCTAGTGGTCCACTGGGCCAGTGGTGCCAACTGTGGGAAGCCATCTGGGGCAAGCTGGACCCCTGACCCGTCAATTGACTCAGCAGGCCGGGCAGGGACAATTAGCCAGTGCAACGTCTGAGCCACAACGAGGAAACGACATGCTCTGGTACCGTCTGCACCAAATGGAGGCCCTCAAGACAGACGGCAGCTCCCATCATTCCCAGACAGCTGATGGGAGCTGCAGTCCAGCGCACCTGCAAGACCTCAGCTGGGGCGTCAAGATCTGGTGAGAAGGAAGGGAAAGGGGTGTAGGGGTCTCACAGGCCCTGCTGGCACATGGGTAGACAGGGGACCCGAGGGCTTTGGGAGTGCCTAAGCCCCTCCCCGAGGGCCAGCGGACCCTCTCCCCACCCCGGGGGCTCACAGCCTCACATCGCCACTACTGACCCGGAACTGCGGCCGTGGCTCCTCGATGGACTCTGCGGGCGTGTCCAACGTTCCCCACTTGTAGGCGAATTCGGCGCCCCGCCGCTTCCACTCCTCCAGGAACAGCGTGGACCAGATCACGTTGAAGAGGGCGAAGACCACACAGCAGATGTCCCGGCTGGTCTGCGGAGGGCAGAGGCAAGAGGCTGGTGGAGGCCGACCTGAGGCTGCTCCGGGGCCCAGAGCGGTTTTGACCCTGGCTGTAGCACCGACACCCTCACACGTACCCACAGATGTCTCCGATGGCAGTGGGTCTCTCTGCTGGCTGTGGACTACATCTCCCATCAGCCCCAGCTGGCAGGGATCATGGGGGTTGCAGTACAAGGCATCTGGAGGGTGCCAGGCTGCGTGCCCTGCCATAGGGCCAGAATCAAAGGTGTCCCAAGCCCTTCGGTGGATCCCGGCTGCTCAAATCCACCCTCTGCGTGTCGTAAATCTGGATTCTCACCTGATCGTTCTCCGTGAAGAAGTAGAGAAGGGAGCCGAAGACGGCCGGGTAGACCATGGCCGAGGTGTAGAAGCCCAGCCACGCGAAATACATGGCGATCTTCACACCAAAATAGTCACAAATTTCATCTGGGGAGACATGGAGTGGCATAAGGCGGGGCAAGCAGAGGGAACCTGAACTGGGAGGGCTGGAAAATGGGGCTCATGGGGAGGGCATCGATCCTTCTCTCTCCAGCTGCTCCCCTCCCCCCGGATCACGGCCTCCAATATGGCCATTATGCTGAGAAAAGAACTCTGCCCATGCGGGAACGACGTGCGATCGTGCCGGTGGGGGGCGGAGATGCCCGAGATCATGGGCCTGCTCGTGCAGGAAAGACAGGCGCGATCGCGGCCTTCTCCCCCCGCCCCCAGCACGATCGCGGCCATCTCCCCACTCGGCGGGTGGGGTGGGGAGAAGGCCGCGATCGTGGATGCCACCCAATGCGGAGTTTGCGACCTGAGTCAAAATTTTTATGAAATTTTTCTTTGCAACCCAATTTGGTTGTGAACTGAGGCGTTCGTGAGCTGAGGTACTATTATATTCCAATGGGAAGAATGGGCCTGCTTTTGGCCAACGAGATGGGTAATGTCCGGTTCCACATTCGCTCCTCTCTTCCGTATTCAGAGCCAACGCATGCGTGCAACGGGGGAAGAGCCGGCCCGTGCGCCATTCACGCCGGCAAGACCAGCACAGCAGCAGGAGCGAGCCAGAGCTAGCAGAGAGAGCTGGCGCATGCGCACTGAAGGGAGCTGTCACAATTTGGCGCGTGCGCCGGCTCTCTGCTAGTCTCCGACACTGAAAGCGTTTCAGAGTACACCTGCGCTGGCTCAGAGCTTTCGGACTTGTTCGGAGATCGTTTTCTCCAAACAAGTCTGAAAGCTCTGAGGTGGGCCGGGTAAATGACCATGGCAGGCTGAATCTGGCCCGCAGCCCATAGTTTGAGGACCCCTGCATTAAGGAATGGCCAAAAACTTGCATTAAAGTGTTCAAGAGTTGTTGAGACTGCACGGGCAGGAAACTGGAGAAGCTGAAGCAGCACAGAGCTAACACCCCACACCCCACCCCTCCTGTTGTTCTGATCTTGCCAGTGAAGCTCCTGAAGGCATTGCCGGTGTGTGTGTGTGTGTTTCCAGTTCAGCACAAATCAATTTCGTGCGTCCTACCCGAGGTATCTGAGCAGGGGGGCTGAGAGCCCTAGAAGGAAAGCAGAAGAACCTACCCAAAGGCTGAGGTTCGCAGATGGCTTGTACCCAAGACTTCATGAGCCGGTTGAGGATCCGCTGCTCGTGGATGGGAAAGACCTGTTGCAGGATTCCGCGAGCTGCCAACTCGGGGACTGAGAAGAGGAGGAGGAGGAAAGGGTGAAGGGCAGTGCACAGCTTCTGGACCCCTTCTGGTCTACCATGCCCCCAGCGGTTACGCCGGGGGGAGCCATGCCCTGGCCCTGTGTGTGAAATATCTGCTTTGCTGCAAGCCTTCCGACAAGAGCGTTGATCCACACTCTGGACTCCTCAAGCAGCTCCTCTTTAAGGACACAGAATGTGCTAACCTGATAAAATGCAAATGAGTGTACGTGCAAAGCACACACGCACACACACAGATAGGCAGTCCAGGGGTTTTTAAAACTGCAAGCTTGTGTTGAAAGGGCGCAGAACAAGTCTGGCTTCGAACCACCCATCTCAGCAAGAAGCATCCCTTCCTACAACGAATGTTCCAGGGGAACTGTCTGTGATGTCGCAGGAAGCCGAACTTGAACCAAGTGCTACTCGTTTTCCTGAGCTGTGCTAATTGAGGCTCCGGTAAGAGGGTCAGAGGAGCTGTCTCAAGGAAAGCGATCGCACGGGGGACAAAAGAAACGATGCAAAGACACGCTGAAAGCCTCTCTCAAGTCCCTGTTATCGACACCACCTCCTGGGAGACCCTGGCACAAGACCGATCGACACGGCACATGCTGATCCACCAAGGCTGCCAAACTTCTGAAGCCAGAAGGACAACCATAGCACAAGAGAAGCGAGCACTCCGTAAATCCAGAGTTGCAAACGCTGCAACAGTGGTGCCCACACGTCTGCCCGACGTGTGGCAGAACACTCCGTGCCCGTATTGGCCTTATCAGCCACCTGCAGACACACCGTGGACAGCTCACAACCCGTTAGATGTCAAGGTCCTCATCGAAAACGATGGACGAACATCATCAGAGGTTGCATCCTGGAACCATGGACTCCCCCCTCCCCGGCGAAAAGAGACTCCTCTCCCCAGGCACATCAAGTTTTCTTTCTGAAAGGGATTTTTTTGGGGGGGAAGCAAGGGGCAATTGAGGGAACCCGCCCGGCAAAGGCAGGTGGTGACCATCTGAGTTGCTCTTTATCACCTGGCTCTTTGGAACGGAAAGCAGGGGCCTCGGACCCTTTTCCCCAGCCTGGTTCCCTCCCATGGGGCCTGTGACCCCCATGATCCCAGCCACGAACGGCTGGGAATGGCTCTCTGGAAAGGCAGAAATGGCCAAAGAATATGATCCTCAGGTCAGTTTCCTTTGCTCAGCAGTGGCTCCAGCTGCTTGCATGTTGCATTGTCCTAATTAAATGTACACTTAATTAGGGCAATTTATATTACATTAGACTCCTTTTCAGCATTCCCCGCGCTAGATGAGGTTAGAGTGGGGACAAAGCAAGGCATAAAAGCATCCAAATTTGTAAGTGGATATTTAACTGCTTCTTAAAATGCTTTGCTAAATTATCCTCGCAGAGGACGGGGGGCGGGAGGGGGGCAAACAGCAACATGGCTCCATTTTGCCTCCAGATTAGCAATTTCAGACCAAGCGGCAATTTCCTTTGAAGCTGAAAAGGGAAAACTTTGCACTTTGCTTTGGAACATGCAAGCCACAATTTTAAGAAATAAATACAGATCTGCAGGGGTGGGGGTTTGGCAGATGCCAGGAGCTCCAGGTGCCGGACTGGAGAACCCCCACGGTGGTCTTTCCATTGCAAGAGGCCAACGGAATGGCAATTCCACGGGTTTCTTTTCCCAGGAACCTTCTGCAAAGGCCTCAGTGCTCCGGAATTGATGGCTTTGTGGGTGTGTTGCTTCTTGTTTTCATTTTCATGTGCTCCTCCATGACTACCGTGTTTCCCCGAAAATAAGACCGGGTCTCATGATAATTTCTGCTCCAAAAGACACATTATGGCTTATTTTCAGGTGAAGCCTTATTTTTTTCTTAAGAAAGTCATAAGATCCGGGCCCCGAGAGTCCTCCACGATTCCTTTCGTGTACTCAATGGAATCACTCCTTTTTGAACTCATCTTGTCTGGGGGGGGCGGGGGCGGCCAAAATATTATTCCCTTTAAAGCTACCATTAAATCAAGTGTTAACTGAAGACTTATGAGACAGGAGTGGCAACACACGAGTGCATTAAGCACGTCCGTTACAACACACGACATATTGAATTAAGAAACACGCCTGCTCGTTATCAAGCGTACATGTCATTCATGTGTTGTGTCTGTCCTCCGATCGGTCATTTGGCAGTAAGTCTCAAGCTCATCTGTTTCCAAAGATGTTTCCCTCTTGTCCAAAGGCGCCTGCTTGTGTATTTATGTTATGTTGTGCCCAACACGTCATGACCCCATGGACAACATCCCTCCAGGCTCTTCTGTCCTCCACTGTCCCCTAGAGTCCACCCAACCCCATGCCTGGCATCCCAGTGATCCCATCCAGCCACTTCATCCTCTGCCGTCCTCTTCTTCTTTTGCACTCAATTGTTCCCAGCATTAGGCTCTTCTCCAGCAAGTCCTTCCTTCTCATTAAGGGGCCAAGTTATTTGGGCTTCATCTTCAGGATCTGGCCTTCTAAAGAGCAGTCAGGGCTGATCTCCTCTAGGACTGACCGGTTTGATCGACTTGCGGTCCAAGGGACTTGCAGAGTCTCCTCTAGCACCACAATTCAAAGGTTTCAATTCTTCGCCGCTCAGTCTTCCTTCTGGTCCAGCTTTCACAGCCATACATTGCAACTGGGAAAACCATAACCTTGACTATATGCACTTTTGTTGGCAGGGTGATGTCTCTGCTTTTTAGTATGCTGCCTAGATTTGGAATAGCTTTCCTCCCCTGGAGCAAGCGTCTTTTTATTTCTTGGCTGCAGTCCCCATCTGTGGTGATCTTGGAGCACAGGAAAATAAAATCTGTCACTCCCTCCATTTCTTCCCCATCTATTTGCCAGGAAGTGAGAGGACCGGATGCCATGACCTTAGTTTCCCTAATGCTGAGTTTTAAGCCAACTTTTGCACTCCCCTCCTTCACCCACATCAAGAGGCTCTTCAGTTCCTCTTCACTTTCTGCCATTAGAGTGGAATCATTTGCCTATCTGAGGTTGTGGATATTTCTCCCAGGAATCTTAATTCCAACTTGTGATTCATCCAGCCCCACCATTCTCATTGACAAAAAGCTCTGCATATAAGTTAAATAGGCAGTATACAGCCTTGCTGACAAAACGTGACCCCCTGGAGAAGGAAATGGCAACCCACTCGAGTATCCTTGCCATGAAAACCCCATGGACAGTACCAAAAGGCAAAACGATATGAGGCCGGAAGATGAGCCCCTCAGGTCGGGAGGTGCCCAGTGTGCTCCTGGGGAAGAGCAGAGGGCTAGTACTAGTAGCGCCAGGAAGAGTGAAGAAACTGGGTCAGAGCCGAAAGGACACTCAGCTCTGGATGTGTCTGGTGGTGAAAGGAGAGTCCGATGCTGCAAAATCTATACTCCACAGGAACCAGGAATGCAAGATCCATGAATCAAGGCAAGCTGGATGTGGTCAAACAAGAGATGACAAGACTGAACATCGACATCTTGGGAACCAGTGAACTAAAATGGACAGGAAGGGGTGGATTTAATTCAGGTGACCATCAGGTATCCTACTGCGGGCAAGAATCCCTCAGAAGAAATGGAGTAGCCTTCACAGTCAAGAAAAGAGTAGGAAAAGCAGCACTGGGATACAATCTCCAAAATGGCAGAATGATCTCGATTCGAATCCAAGGCAAACCATTCAGCATCACAGGAGTCCAAGTCTGTGCCCCAGCCACTGGTGCTGAAGAGGCTGAAGTTGACCGGATCTATGAAGGCCTACAGCACCTTCCAGAATTAACACCAAAAATGGTGTTCTTATCATCATGGGGGATTTGAATGCTAAAGTGGGAAGCCAAAAGATAACCGGAATAACAGGCAAGTTTGGCCTTGGAGTACAAAATGACGCAGGGCACAGGCTGGTAGAATTTTGTCAAGAGAACATGCTGGTCATAGCAAACACTCTTTTCCAGCAACCCAAGAGACGGCTCTACACATGGACATCACCAGACGGTCAACACAGAAATCAGACTGACCATGTGCTCTGCAGCCAAAGATGGAGAAGCTCTACACAGTCAGTAAAAACTGGACCAGGAGCTGACTGTGGCTCAGATCGTGAGCTTCTGGTTGCAAAATTTAGGCTGAAATTGAAGAAAGTAGGGAAAAGCACTAGGCCACGCAGGTATGACCTAAATCATATCCCTGCTGTCACCTCAGTTGAGGTGACAAATAGATTTAAGGGATTAGATCTGATAGACAGAGTGACTGAAGAACTATGGATGGAGGTTCACAACACTGTACAAGAGGTAGCAACTAAAACCATTCCAAAGAAAAAGAAATGCAAGGAACCAAAATGGCTGTCTGAGGAAGCTTTACAAATAGCTGAGGAAAGAAGGGAAGCGAACGGCAAGGGAGAAAGAGCTACACGCAACTGAATGCAGAATTCCAGAGACTAGCCAGAAGAGCTAAGAAGGCCTTCTTAAATGAACTGTGTAAAGTAATTGCGGTTGCTAGTCATGAAGTTGTGTCCAACCCATCGTGACCCCATGGACAACATTCCTCCAGGCCCTTCCTGTCCCCCAGCATCCCCTGGAGTCCACCTAAGCTCACACCGACTGCCTCAGTGCCTCCATCCAGCCACCTCATCCTCTGCCGTCCCCTTCTTCTCTTGCCATCAATTGTTCCCAGCATCAGGCTCTTCTCCAGGGAGTCCTTCCTTCTCATTAGGTGGCCAAAGCATTTGAGCTTCATCTTCAGGATCTGGCCTTCTAAAGAGCAATCAGGGTTGATCTCCTCCAGGACTGACCAGTTTGATCACCTTGCGGTCCAAGGGACTCGCAGGCGTCTCCTCCAGCACCACAGTCCAAAGGCCTCAATTCTCCAGTGCTCAGCCTTCCTTATGGTCCAGCTTTCACAGCCATACATCGCCACTGGGAAAACCGTAGCCTTGACTATATGCACTTTTGTTGGCAGGGTGATGTCTCTGCTTTTTAGTATGCTGCCTAGATTAGCCATAGCTTTCCTCCCCAGGAGCAAGCGTCTTTTAATTTCTTGGCTGCATTCCCTGTCTGCAGTAATCTTGGAGCCCAGGAAAATAAAATCTGTCACTCCCTCCATTTCTTCCCCATCTATTTGCCAGGAAGTGAGAGGACCAGATGCCATGATCTTAGTTTTCTTAATGTTGAGTTTTAAGCCAAGTTCTGTGCTCTCCTCCTTCACCTGCATCAATAGGGAGAGCCAGTGTGGTGTCGTGGTTAAGAGCGTCGGACTGGGATTCAGACGATCTGGGCTCTAGTCCCTGCTCAGCCATGGAGCCGACTGGGTGACTCTGGGCCAGTCACAGACTCTCAGCCCAACCTACCTCACAGGGTTGTTGTTGTGTGGATAAGATGGAGGAGGAGAGATGATGTAAGCTGCCTTGAGCCCTTTGTAGGAAAAAGGCAGGATATAAATAGAAATATAAATAAGTAAGTAAGTAAGGCGCTCTTCAGTTCCTCTTCACTTTCTGCCATTAGAGTGGTATCATCTGCATATCTGAGGTTGTTGATATTTCCCCCAGCAATCTTAATTCCAACTTGTGATTCATCTAGTCCCACCTTTCTCTCTGCATATAAGTTAAATAGCAGGCCAACAATATACAGCCTTGACGAACTCCTTGCTCAATTTTGAACCAATCCATGGTTCCGTGTCCAGTTCTCACTGTTGCTTCTTGACCCACATACAGGTTTCTCAAGAGACAAATAAGATGGTCTGGTACTCCCATCTCTTTAAGAACTTGCCACAATTTGTTGTGATCCACACAATCAAAGGCTTTAGCAAAGTCAATGAAAGTAGATGCTTTTCTGGAACTCCCTGGCTTTCTCCATGATCCAGCGTATGTTGGCAATTTGATCTCTAGTTCCTCTGCCTCTTCGAAACTCTGCCTGTACTTCTGGTACTTCTGGGTCCACATACTGCTGGAGCCTGTAGGATTTTGGGCATAACTTTGCTAGTATGTGAAATGAGTGCAATGGTGTGGTAGTTCGAACATTCTTTGGCATTGCCCTTTGGAATTGGAATGTAAACTGACCTTTTCCAATCTTGTGGCCACTGTTGAGTTGTCCAAATTTGCTGGCATATTGAGTGTAGCACCTTTACTGCATCGTCTTTTAGGATTTTGAATAGCTCAGCTGGAATACTGTCGCCTCCACTAGCTTTGTTGTTGCTCAGACTTCCTAAGGCCCATTTGACTTCACATTCCAGGATGTCTGGCTCAAGGTCAGCGACCACCCCATCGTGGCTCTCAGGGACATTTAGCTCTTTCTTGTATAGCTCTTTTGTGTAATCTTGCCACCTCTTCTTAATCTCTTCTGCCTCTGTGAGGTCCCTGTTATTTTGGTCTTTTATCATGCCCATCTCTGCATGAAATGTTCCCTTCATATCTCCAATTGTCTAGAAGAGATCTCTAGTCTTCCCTGGGGTTAGGGGTGGGGTTCACATTCCGAACATCCTGAAAAATCATGCTAAGGCTTATTTTCCATTTAGGTCTTATTTTCAGGGAAACATGGTAAGTTGAATTTGAAATCCTCCGATGCATTCAGGAGATCCGCAATGCAGACCGCGACTTGACATTTGCTGGCCAGATTTCTAAACTGGGACCAAAGAAAACATGGGCTCGGCTGCTCAGACACCTGTGTGCCCTGGCTGGCAGGCCCCCCTCCCGGCCCCAATCCCTACTCACTGATTGGCTGCCCTTCCAGGAAGTGGATGTTGTGCAGCACCTCGCCCTGCTTGGCACGCAGGTTCTCCAACCAATACCTGATGACGTTCTGGCGTTCCTGGAAGCGGCAGAGAGACGCAGTGAATGGCTGTCACCAGCCCACCACGCCCTGCTCTCCCCGGCTGGTGCTGCAGCTGAGGAATTTCAGGCACTGTCCCTGAGGCCGTGGCCTAACCCTGGAAGGTGGCTGCATCCCATTCCACTGACTGGTGATTGTGCGGTGGCATTTGGTGGCGCCTTTGCTCTAAGAGGGATGCGGAATGGATTGTCCCGGGGCGGTGGAACAGAACACAGCCGAGTCAAGTGGGATGCGGAGGAAATTCCTGTTTCCTTCCACTCTGGTTCCCTTCAGCATTCACGCAACACAAAACTGACTTCACCATTTTCCTCTGCTTTTGTAGGCCAACTGCTTTGGGAATGCATGAGAATTTCATTTCTGTTTGCAAATCATGCAAATGAGTCCCGTTTGCAATCCCAAATGGCATGCTTTGAAATGCGCATTTATTAAATGCAGTATTGCACTCTTCTAGTTAATGGTGGAAATGTGTATATTCTGGACAAAACTGCACAGGAAGGTATCCATTTTCCTTCAAAAGGGGCACTTTCCCTGTCTGAATGGGCTGGAAAACCGGTCAAAACAGGGGGCGGGGGTGTGTGAAATGAGCCTGAAGGTCATTTTGGCAGCATTTTGCAGAGTTCCAAAAGCGCCAGTGTCCTGGCTCTGATATTAGAATTCTCCCGCCACAAAAACTGATTCTCTCACCTTTGCTGGGAGGACTCACCTGAGAAGTGAAAAAATAGAGCTCGTTTTCTATGTTCTCATAGATGTAATCTTCCTCACAAGAAAAGCTGCGCATGCCACCCCCGAATTCCGCCTTCACCGGCTTCCGCAAGCTGAGCTCGTCTGCCCCCCGGAGCAAACTGCCAAAGGAGGGGCAAACAGGAGATGAAGGGTCTGCAGAATTAAAGCCCCCCTCCCCACCCTCAGTTTTGCTTGCTTGGAGGCTGCCTCTCAACTTATCCGACCTCACAGGGTTGGTGTGAGGATAAAATGGAGAGGAGGATTGTGTTAGCCACCTTGCAGGAAATAAGGCGGGATACAAATATAATAATAGACATATACAACATAAATGTAATAAATAAATAACAAAGTTAGTTAAGTTTTTCTTTTAAACTTTTGCTGCTTTGCGTTTCCTTTTGGAATGCATGGAGATCCCTCCAGCCTGGCTGTTTTTGCAGCTAACCAACATCCCGGAGATTTCAAGGGATTTGCTGTTAAGGAGCCCTAAATCTGGAATAACCCCATCTGTCTGGTGGTCACAGTCCGTGCTTCCTCCGGGGCCTCAGCCTGCCCGTCCCGCCGGGCCCTCGCACACCTTTCCCTCCCGCCCCGCCGCCAGGTGGGACTTGCCTCTCGTACGTGGCCGTGACGAAGAAGGCGTAGGCGCGGGTGTGCTTGTGCTGCCGTATCTGGATGATCAGCTCCGGGATGCCGAGGCGGATGTGGTTCAGCAGCCACAGGAGCGTGTGGTCGTCGGTCGTGTCTGGGGGGAGAAATGGGGAGGGCAGTGGTGAGGCGGAGGCCGACACACAGGCCGCGGGGCCGATCCGAAGCAGGGAGGTTCTAGGGCGGAAACCACTTAGGCGCCGTCCTTTGGCAGCACCCACGAACCCGTGTGCCCCAAGGCTCGCGGCTGCCCCACGGAGAGCGGGGGGGTCCTGCACCTCCCTGGCCCAGTGTTTTGCAGGATGCGGGCTGTTTCGCCCCTCCAAATGGAGCGTTTCAAGGGCGAGGAAAGGAGGCCGGCATGGCTTCGGGATAACATGGTTCTCAGCCTCCCCGGTCTCCTCCTGCCCCGGCCCTCAACGCGCCCCCCTTCTCCCTCTCCGAGGTTGCTTTCCCGACCCTGGCGAGCAGGCAGCCGGTTCTCGCCAAGCTGGGGACGGAAGCGCTTCCCTGCTGCCTCTGGGCTCGGACCTGGGAAGCTGAAGCCCCCGCCCCCCCCATGGCCTCCCTGGTGCTGGCGAGGGTCCACGGGACTGCTCTGCTTGCCGATTTCAAACTGGGATGGGGAACCTGGGGGCATAGGCCACACCCTGCTTACTGGGGGGCTCCAGAAGGGCCCTCCTCTTTCCTCCCCCCCAGCTATTTGTCTGGCCATTTCCTGGCTTCTGCACCCCCCACCCCCACCCCCCATTCTAAGAGGCAGGAAGAGTTGTGCAAGGGCTTGAGTCCCGGGCAGGAACACATTGCGCTAAAATAGACACGTCCCGTTTCGCACGGCGGCTCTGCTCTTCCGTGGGGCAGACCCCCAAATTCTCCTCTGGAGTGGCAGCCAGCCCCTGGGCCAAACGTGCTTCCGCACCAATTTAAAGGGCGCCTCTGAATTAGTTTGGGACACATGCTTAGAAAATGGTGGCGTGGCAGTTTTTGCTCTAGAAGAGTTCACATCTCTCCTCGGAATGTTTTTGCTGAGACGGCGCCTGCTGAGATATGTTCAGGAAGCACCTGCAAGTCAGGAAAGCAGCTTGCCTTTTCCGCTGGAAATATTCTTATCCATACCTGAAGCGTGGGAGCGTGCATCTTTCACTGGCAGTGGAATTGGCGGACTCGGTCAGCCCTCAGCCCACTGGCCCTGCGTGCGAGGGACATGCCCAGAGGGCACCCCCAAAGCTCATGGACGCACAAAGCACCCACACTTCCAGTCCGTACAAGCCATGCTCTCGGTTGCGCTCCCACAGGTGCGCTCTCAGCTCCCTTGTGGGCCAAAACACGGAGGACTAAAACGGTTATCTTCAGGTCAAGACAACAAAGCACAGTCACACGCTCGCTGATACTGAAGAGAGGCGTACAAAAGCAAAGTTTGGCATGGGGATGTTGACAAGGGCAGCCCTTCCTTGTCACGAATCCAGCAGCCACGGCCACTGAAATTCCAGCCATGGGAAAATCAGCACTGCCTCTTTACACTAATTATAGACCAGTGGCCAACATCCCGTTCCTGGGCAAGGTGCTGGAGCAGGTGGTGGCGGGACAAGTCCAATCACTCTTGGATGAGACTGATGATCTGGACCCATTTCAGTCTGGCTTCAGACCCGGGTACGGTACTGAATCTGCCTTGGTCGCCCTGTACGATGACCTGTGCAGGGAGAAGGACAGGGGGAGTGCGTCCCTCTTGGTTCTCCTGGACCTCTCAGCGGCTTTCGATACCATCGACCATGGTGTCCTTCTGGATAGGCTAGCGGGATTGGGGGTCGGAGGCACCGCTTTGCGGTGGTTCCGCTCCTATCTCAACGGCCGGTTCCAGAAGGTGGTGCTGGGGGACTATGGCTCTGCGCCATGGCAGCTATGCCATGGAGTACCACAGGGCTCCATTTTGTACCCCTTGCTGTTTAACATCTATATGAAACCACTGGGAGAGGTCATCAGGAGGGGTGGGCTGCGGAGTCATCAGTACGCTGATGATACCCAGCTCTACCTCTCGTTCTCCACCAATCCAGGTGAGGCAGTGGCTGTGCTGAACCGGTGCCTGGCCGAGGTAATGGGCTGGATGAGGGCCAGTAAACTGAAGCTCAATCCAGACAAGACGGAGGTCCTGTTGGTTGGCGGATCCGGCTTCGGAGAGGGTGGATTTGACCTAGTCCTGAATGGTGTAACACTCCCTCTTAGGGACAAGGTCCGCAGCTTGGGAGTGCTCCTCAACCCGGAGCTTTCACTGGAAGCTCAGGTGACAGCGGTGGCGAGGAGCGCCTTCCTTCAGCTTCGGCTGATCCACCAGCTGCGTCCCTACCTGGAGAACAACTGCCTGGCAACAGTGACACACGCGTTGGTGACTTCCCGACTTGACTTCTGCAACGCGCTCTACGTGGGGCTACCCTTGAAGACGGTCCGGATACTTCAATTGGTTCAAAATAGAGCTGCCAGGCTGCTGGCAGGGACTGGACGTTATGCTCACATGACTCCAGTTCTCCGTCAGCTTCACTGGCTCCCCATTGAAGCCTGGGCCCAATTCAAGGCGTTGGTGATGACCTATAAAGCCCTAAACGGCTTGGGTCCTGGTTACCTGAAGGAGCACTTGCATCCATATACGCACGCCCGCCCCCTGAGATCTGTGGGAGAGGCCCTTCTCCGGGAACCCTCCGTGAAGGAAATTAGGAGGGTAGGTCCTCGGAGGAGGGCCTTCTCTGCGCTGGCGCCCAATCGATGGAATGCGCTCCCCAGAGAGGTCCGCCTGGCGCCGTCATTATTTGTTTTTTGGCGCCAGGCCAATACCTTTTTATTCAAATGTTACTTTAATTGTTAAATTTATTTATTTATTTATTTATTTATTTATTTATTTATTTATTTATTATTTATTTATTTATTTATTTATTTATTTATTTATTTATTTATTTATTTATGGCCAGGTTGACTCAAATTATATTGTTTTTATATTGTGTTTATTTATTTATTATTGCGAGCTGCCCAAGGCTATGGCATAGAAGCTTCTCAAATAAATACATACATACATACACACACGAAGGACTGAAGGCGACAGAGCTGGAATGGGCCCGAGCGAGGCGTGAGGTGATCCGATTCCGCTCAGACTGAATACGGTTCTGCCAACGCATGTGGTCCCTCGGGGCAAAAGGCCCTGGTCTAGAGAGGATGCGCAGAAGCGGATTTCCGGACACGGCTGGGGAGTCGCCGTCCTTTTTCGCTGCCTCAACGTGCCAAGCAGCTGCCCCACTGGGAGGAGCTGGACGCCAAGGCAGAGGGGGAGACGGCACACGGAAGCCCTCCGGACAGCCAGTTTGCGGCTGTGAGCGGGAATGCGGATGGTGCCCCCGAGGAAGAGGACGGGGGCGCTCTGTGTGCACGGGGCCGGCCAGGCAGCTGGTGAGAGGCCCAGCTCCTCGGGCTCGCGCGGTCTGGCCCTGCTCTACGGGGACCCGACACGGGAGGTCATGCATGGCCCTCGTGGATGGCAGCTTTTGCCGCATCGCCTTCTCTGGCAGGCCCGGGTGATGCAACCGATCCGGCTGTCCAGGGGGACCTCGCCGCTGGCACCTCGGCAGCCATTAGAGCGGGTTAGGAGGGCTTCTCGTGGTGCTCCGTTCCACTTGGCTCCCAGCCCAGGCCGGTGTCTCCTTTCAAGCCACCAACTCGCAGGGCGGCTGCTGCCAGGAGGGGCGGGGGCAGCGCCCGACCTCCTGCAGCGTGAGGGCCTTCCAGGCTGACTGAAGGGGCTTAGGGTCAGGGTCAGGGTCAGGCTTATGCCTTTCATTACACTTATGTCCCGCCTCTATTCCCGTAAGGAGCCAAAGGAAGGCTGCAGCACCCTCTTCCTCTTTGAGCTTCACAACAACCCTGCGAGGCATGACAGGCAGAGAGTCTGGAAGTATCCCAGAATCACCCAGATAGAAACATAGAAACTGAGTGAGGCAGAAGGGGCCTCCCAGGCCATCTAGTCTGACCCCTCCTCCAGCCAGCTTCCCTCAGAGAAACATAGAAACCGAGTGAGGCAGAAGGGGCCTCCCAGACCATCTAGTCTGACCCCTCCTCCAGCCAGCTTCCCTCAGAGAAACATAGAAACCGAGTGAGGCAGAAGGGGTCCCCAGGGCCATCTAGTCTGACCCCGCCTCCAGCCAGCTCCATTCACAACATGCCTACCATGTGCATGTCCAGCCTATCCTTGAACACCCTCACCAGTGGGGCCTAAAGCACCTCCCCTGGAAGCCCATTCCATAGCCTGCATGTCGTAGTGCTCAGAAGGTACTTTTTGGCATCCTAATTGAACTTTTGGTTCCTTGAGCTTCGCTCCATTCGAGCACGTCCTGCCCTCCTCTGCAGGGGAGAACAGGTCCCTACGCACCTCCGTGTGACACCCCCTACTTGCCAGCAGATCCCCTCGGAATCTCCTCTTCTCCATGCTGAAAATTCTCAGTTCACCTGATATGGATTCCACGCAATGCGGCCACAATTCGGGTGGCCCTTCATTGCACTGACTCTAACCTGGCTATATCCTTCCTTTAACTGAACACAATAGTCAAGGTGTGGGTGTACCAGAGTTGTAGAGAGTAGCAGTAATATCTCTCTCCATCTAGCAGCCACGTTTCTGGCTATGCAGCCGAGTATGGCGTTCGCCCTCTTGACAGACCCATCACACAGCTGGCTCATATTTATCCTGCAGTCAACCAGCACCCCAAGGTCCCCTTCTCAAGTGCTGCTCTCCAGCCACTTGTCCCCCAACCTGTCCTCATGACACCCATTCCCAGCTCCAAGCCCAGGACTTTGCACTTTATGGCTGCACAGGGAGTTGAACCCGGACGCCCCGACTGCCAGGCGAAGGCACCAACCATTCCGCCAGGCTGGCCTTCTCATGCGCACATGGTAGTTGATGGTTATTGTTGTTGTTAGTCGCGAAGTCGCGTCCGACTCATCGCGACCCCATGGGCAACACTCCTCCAGGCCTTCCTGTCCTCCTCCATCCCCCGGTGTCCACCCAAGCCCACATCCACCGCCCCAGTGACTCCATCCAGCCCCCTCATCCTCATGATGGTTAATACTGGACCACAGAGATAGCTCTGGCTTGGCAAGGAAATTAATCATAAGAAGATTGACGAAGCAGCTAAATGTGGGAAGGTGGTTTGGCATTCTCAGGGTGCCGTCCTAGGCCTGTTTAGACAGAGACAGTTCTTGCAAGCATTTGGGGTGCAACTGTAAGAAAGGGAGGGAGGGAGGGAGGGGGAAGGGGGGGAACCCTCCACAACTCCAGCTTTCCTTGCTGGGATCAGCGGGCCTTTTCCTCTGCCTAAACACGCACATACCTCACCTTCCCGGTGGTGCCTGGAAGCCCAACCCTGCACACGTCTGTTTGGAAAACGGTCCCCCGAGCGCACCTGCTCCTGAGCGAGTGAGCCCAGGTGGGAAGCCGTGCTCCTTCGCAGACATTTCTCAGCTGCCGCTGGGAGAATCTGTCCCCTTATTTCCAAACTTTTAATTTTATATTGTTATTTTTGTATTGTATTGTATTTTATTGTGTTGTAAGCCGCCCCGAGGCTTCGGCAAGGGGCGGCATAGAAATGTTCCAATAATAATAATAATAATAATAATAATAATAATAATAATAATAAAACTGCAGCCATAAAATGTCAACTGCACTCGCGAACACAGACACACAGGTGTACATGGGAGTCCACAGAGCGCCCCTCGATCCAGAGATTGCCAGTGAAGCAGCCCATGTCCAATCCCGGCCTCGTGTCCTCACAGTAAGCCAACTCCATCTCCTCTCCCCCGTCCACACACCCCTCGTGACAAATGGGGGTCCCCGTATGAGGCTTAGTCCATCCCACACAGAGCACGCGTGAAATAGCAGAGATATGGGACATTTCGGGTTTTCATAAACTCCGCGGAGTGCAACTCAGGAGCTTTGGGCTCCCTATATGGCAAGCTAACGCTCCCTTCCCGTCAAAATAAATTTTCCTGCCTTGCAGTAACACTCGGGGGTTCCACTCTCAGCAACAACCCACAGGATGCAAATACCGTGAGCTGAAGATCAGATGCACCACAGATGAGGGCAAATACTTATCTTCTCTTTTCCCCAAAGTGTGGGAAGCCTGCCTGAATAACATCCCTTGCCTTGCACCACAGCTCCCATCCTGCTGGCAGCGGGTGATGGGAGTTGTAGTCCAACATGCTCAGAAGGTGCTGCGTTAGGGGAAACGGAACCATTCCCTGTAATCTGCAGCATTTTATTTTCCCAGTATTTTAATAATTAAATGGTTTTATCCTTGTTTTTATTACTATTTTAGATGCCATGTATTTTTTTTTAAAGATGTGTGTTGTTGTTATGGGTTCATTTTTTTTTGTTTTTGTTTTTGTTTCTTCTCTGTAAGCCTCCCAGAGACTTTTTTAGTAATGGGATGGCATACAAAAACCCTAAATAAATATTGTTATTGTTTATTGTTATTTTTAGTTACCAGCTGAGTTCCAGATGTTAATATCATAGATATATTTTGAGGGATATGTATTTGTATCTCAATTGTATGTATTCATGTTTTGTTAAAAAAATAAAAAGGGGGAAATAAATGAATAAATAAATCTCAGGGCAGGAGTGAGTTTCTGCTGACTGTTCGGCCTTTTTTGGGGTGGGGGCTGGAACTGAAGCTGCAGCTCCCCTGACGGCCTTCAAAGCACCGCACTGCTCGGGCATGATACCCACCTGGCAGAGTCATCAGCACGTCGCAATTTTCCGTGGGCACTGTCTTCATCCATGATTTGTGGGACATGATGTAGCGCCCGGCTTGGAGAAGTCGCTTCCCAAAGAGTTTATCTGGGAAGACAGAAAGCGGAGATTAGCTCTGAGATCGGCAGGTGAGGTAGCGCAAGTCACACCTCTTTTTCTGAGCCAGGTGAGCTATATTACATATTATTTATTTATTTAGTTTGTATGCCGTCCCATCGCTTATAGCCTCGGGACAGCTCACATAAATAAATAAACATAATACAAATACAATTAAAACCCAGAAACACCCTGGCTGCACAATTAAAACCTATAGCTAATATTAAAATTTATTAAAATATCGTTGAAATAAAAAGGTCTTAGCCTGGCGCTGAAAAGCAAATAACGATGGCACCAGGCGGACCTCTCTGGGGAGCGCATTCCATAAGTGGGGCGCCACTGCAGAGAAGGCCCTGCTCCGGGCACTCCTCCTCCTAGTATCCTTCATGGAGGGCTCCCGGAGGAGGGCCTCTGCCGCCAATCTCAGGGGGCAGGAGGGCAAATACGGAAGAAGGCGTTCCTTTAGGTATCCAGGTCCCAAGCCGTTAAGGGCTTTGTAGGTGATAACCAGCACCTTGAATTGAGCCCGGGCTTCGATGGGCTTTGTAGTCTTTTTTTTTTTTTAAGTAAATGTTATTATTACTTTTTACAAACTAAAAAAAGAAAGTAATAATAAAAAAACCATCAATCATCAGAGACATCAGACCTGCTGGGTCAGGCCCGTTTTTCTTTTTTTATAGCAATCCATATTCAAATCTATGCATATTCCCGTTTCTCTAGCCAATAATAAATAGTTCAGAGTTTGATAGAAGTATGTCTCCTCTTTCTCCTTCAGAGACAAAGTCATCCTGTCAATTTCAGCGCAGTCCAGAATCTTTTTTAAGATCAGTTCATCAGTGGGTGGTTCTTCACTCCTCCAATGTTGAGCAAATACAATCCTCGCCGCAGTAATTACGTGTAGAATCAAATATGTTGCCTGTTTGTCAACATCAACAGACACCATGCCTAGTAAAACTTCAGGTTTAAATGTTAAAGGTTTTTGTAACATTTCCTCAAGCCATTTACGTATTTTAACCCAGTATTTTTTTTGCCTTATCACAAGTCCACCACATAGGATAAAAAGGACCAGGTTTATGTTTACATTTCCAACATCTATTTGACATATTTGGAAACATTTTTGCAAATCTATCTGGCGATAAATACCATCTATAAAATATTTTATAAGGATTTTTATATGAGGTTGCTAAGGTTACCTTGATATTTCTTTCCCACAACTTTTGCCATTTCTGTAACTCAGTATGAGATCCAAAATTTTGTGCCCATGTTATCATAGTTTCCTTAACTTGCTCATCTTCCATTCTCATATCCAAAAGAAAATTATAGTCTTTTAATCATTTTTTCATGATTTTAAGATCACTTGGTCAAATGTTGCTAACTCCTTGAGCTATATTAGTCTTTATTTTATTGTGTTGCTTCACTTATATCGCACTTTTTCCTCCAATGGCACGGAATCCAAGGCAGCCTGTGGGATCCCACTCTGCTCCATTTATTTATTTAAAGTTTTTGTATGCCGTCCCCTTGCTATATAGCCTCAGGACGGCTCACACCAATAAATAAATATCATACAAATACAGATAAAACCTGGAAACACCCTGGCTGCACAATTAAAACCTATAAATATTAAACATTGTTAAAATATTGTTTGAATAAAAAGGTCTTGGCCTGGTGCTGAAAAATAAATAATGACGGCGCTAGGCGGACCTCTCTGGGGAGTGCATTCCATAAGTTGGGCACCATCGCAGAGAAGGCCCTGCTCCGGGTACTTTGCCTCCTGAGGTCTCTCCCGGAGGGCTCCCGGAGGAGGGCCTCTGCCGCCGATCTCAGGGGGCGGGAGGGCAAATATGGAAGCCGGCGTTCCTTTAGGTAACCAGGTCCCAAGCCGTTAAGGGCTTTGTAGGTCATAACCAGCAACTTGAATTGAGCCCAGACTTCAACGGGGAGCCAGTGGAGCTGGTAGAGGACTGGGGTTATGTGAGAGTATGTTGTGATTCTCCCAACAGCCTTGCAAGGTTGGTTAGGATGAGAGTCAGGGACTGGGACCTTTGTGTGGATTATGGCTCAGATCTCCTAAGCCACCACATCCTGCTAAATCCCCCAATTTTACCCCAACTGCCCCCTTTCCATGCCTTGACCACCAGGCCCGGTATGTAATTTAGGATAACATAAACCGTTATCTTAACGGCACAGGGGTCGTGCCCAGCCCGCCACCAGAGTCTGCAAAGTGGTTGTTTCGGGACTGACACTGGTCTGACTATTGCAGACCAGGCCTCCCACATGGCAGTGCTCTCTGGATGTGGTGGGGATCAACTCCCATGATCCCCACCAAGGGACCCACCAGAGAAGTGGCCTATCAGCCCCTGCACAATCCGTGTGGGTTTCCTGGAGAGACATTTGGCTCCCGGGAACAGAGAGGCCCATGGAACCAGAGGTCTGCCTGGCGCCGTCGTTATTTGTTTTTCGGCGCCAGGCTAAGACCTTTTTATTCAAGCAATATTTTAACAATGTGTAATATTTACGGTTTTAATTGTGCAGCCAGGGTGTTTCCGGGTTTTAATTTGTATGATATTTATTTATTGGTGTGAGCCGTCCTGAGGCTATATAGCAAGGGGACGGCATACAAAAACTTTAAACAAATAAATAAATCCCAGGCCCTGCTCCGTTCTCAGAGGCCCCCTGCGAAACAGGCTCCTTCCCTGTTGTTTGTTTCGTCGTCTGTTTTCATTTCAGTGCGAACTGTAACTTTCCAAGCCTACTGGGCTCGGCTAACCCCTGTGCCCCTCCATGTTTTTTCCTGATCCAGCTGAAATCCGAGCATCGGATGCTTTTCAAGAGGTCAGTGGCCGAAGAGGGGCCTGGCTTAAAATATCCTCTGGGAGAGCTTGTTTCTTGCTTTGCTGGAAAGGATATGCTGGCGTTTCGATTACAGTCAAGACATAGGAATATTCTTCTGGCACAAGAGGCAGGTCTGGATAGAAGGTGGCCACTTCATGGCCAAAAAAGGAGGTCAGGTTGAGGATTACATGACTGGAGCTGGCTGGAGCCGGGGGTCAGCTTAGATGGCCTTCTTCCGACTCTGTGTTTCTGCAAACCAGCACCCCACAAAATTACAAAGGAAGATGCTGGTTTGTGGCTGCCAGCAAAGAGCATCAGCACAGGCTAATACTTAAATTATATCGGAAGCTGAACATCTCCCACCCTGGTGGAAAAGAATTGACCAGACGACCTGCAGGTCCATTTTTCGGTTGCTGTCCAGGTGCTGAAAAGGACAGCCAACTTCAGAGACCCTCTCTTCTCTCTTATGGCACTTTGATTACTTACAGCCTGCACAACCCATCAAAAAGAGGGTTTCCAAAGGGAGGACCATCCTCAGAAAGGGAGGACACCTGCACACCCTTTCTTATGACTCTCTGTAAGCCAGGCTTGGACTAGGAAGCTCAGTCAACAGGAAGCCTTCAAAGGTAGGACTGACCTCTGCAGAGAGGGACTTTACCTTTAAACCTGGACTGGACAGCGCATGAAAGAGAGGATGCCTTCACAGAGAGGACTGCCCTGTTTCGAACACCCGTCATCTTTCGCCACAGCCAGCCTGGGATGATGGGAGTGGCAAGACTTGCACCACGGGCCTCGAGAACGGGTCTTCTTCGCCAGCAGAGCGCCAAACTGGAGTCTGCCGCCGTTTTATTTATTTCCCACTAAAATGATTTACGGACATTCAAAGCATTATTGCTTGCTTGCACTCCGTATTTATAAAGTGTATGTGCTGTTTCCCTCCACAGAAAGCAATCTCATGGCAACTGCGCCACCGTGATGCAGAAATCCAGAATTCCTAAGAGCAGAAAGAAGCCACCGCTCCATCCAAAGCTGAGATAATTAATCCTGATCATGATGCAAAAGAGGAACAGGTCACCCAGGCCAAAGCCACGAAGCAAAACCCTTTCAGCCCATGCTTTCCCTGTTGTACTCCTGCCTGAATAAAGGTTGCTGGCTTGCTGCTAAATTTTGCAGCAGGCCGACGGCTCCTGCCCCCCCCCCCCTTCCCGATTTCCTGCTCCCTGGGGTATTCCCTCCCACTCCCACAAGGGGCAGAGCAGACCCCCCCCCCAATACCCACCCTGAGGAGCTTCTCCTGCCGCTGAGAAGATGGAGGCGGTGTGCATGGGGAGGGGGGAATGGGGATTTAAAAGCCAGACATCTCCATGGCGACCTCTCTCCTCCAGAGATGGATCCCAGCTATGTTGATGCTGGAGGTGCTCCGGCTGCTGGATCCTCCTGGAGCCTTTCAGGGGAAGTTCAAACCGAGCCAGGACTGCCGCCGAAAGGAAAGAGCAGCCGCCGGACGGAATTGCCCCAGTCTCGGCTGCAGACTACAGCTGCCATCATCCACGCCAGCTCCCAGCACCCCCCTCCCAAAATCATCACCCACAGATGCCAGATGCCCCACGTGGGCTCAGAATGGCCCTGTCGGCCAGGCCGGGGAACAGCTTAGCCCCAAAACCAGGCGCTTGGACGATGCCCGATTGGGGCCGATTCCTGCTGAAGTCCAGCATGCTGGGAGGGCGCCAAGCACACGGATCCTGCGCGAGCCAGGTCTGAGCCCTGGGGGGGTTCCAGCGACCCGCTTGCCAGCCCAGCAAACGGGAAATTTTATTTATGATTTATTTATCTAGAGCATTTGTATGCTGTCCCAGCACATAGCCTCGGGACAACTTACATAAATAAAATAAAACATAATACAGATAAAACCCAGATCCACCCCGGCTGCATATTAAAACCTATAAACTGATATTAAAAGTTATTAAAATATTGAAATAAAAAGGTCTTGGCCTGGCACCAAAAAACAAATAACGACGGCGCCAGGCGGACCTCTCTGGGGAGCGCATTCCACAGTCAGGGGGCAAATTGGGGCAACGCGTTCCCCTTCCTTGCGTGGAAGTGGCACTCTCACCACTCGATCTTATTTAAGATGATGGTTTTTAAATTCCATCACCACCATCCTTCCTATGACTCCCATTTCTACACCACCCCATAGCTGAGACTCTGGGCCGTTCCCAGCCATTATCCCACTTTTCCTCCAAGAAATCCCCCTGCATTTTATCCTCGCAAGAGCCCTGCCAGGCGGGTTCAGGCTGAGAGTCACCCAATGGGCTTTGTGGCTGCAGGGGGGCTCGAACACGCGTCTGCACAGCCCTGGTCCAACGCCGGCCACAGTGCCGCCGTGATTCGGGCCCTGCACTTGGCGGGACGGGACTTGCAGGGCTGGGTTTGAACCCTTGCAAAGCCCTGAAGGGGTGACCCTGGGCCAGTGGCATCGCTTTCGGCCAGCTCTGCACTGCAGGGTTGTTGTGAGGATAATAGAAGGGAGAGAGAGGCAGGAGCGGAACGACTTGGAAGAAATGCTGATATTATCAAGGCGATCGATTAGCCACCGTGGCTGGAAAAGCCCTCTCCGAGACAACCACGCTATCGGACAGTGCAGTCCCCCTTGGGAAGGCTTTCCCTAGCCCGGTGTTCCTTGGAAGTCTGGACAACAGCTCCCACCTGCCAAGGGTCGGGGCTGATGGGTGCTGCAGTCCTGACTCACTGGCCTCTTTTTCTCCGAAAACATGCACTAATATTTTAAACCTTGGGGAAGCATGGAGAGGATGGCTGATTGGAAGCACAATGGTCAAACGCCTCTGGGCCTGGGGCCGCAACACATCAGCTCTCAGCGCGGGCTGAAGAACGCTGGGAGCCCAGCGGGGGCGCCGTGGAACGGAAGTTCACGTTGCCAAAAGAATCCGGCCAGACCTGAACGGGCAGGAAACGGGTGTGAGTCCTGGTTGGAAGCCAATGAAGTACAAAGAGCAATAGGTCTCCTGATCGGGAAGCTTGGAGGCAAACCAGTCTCCTCACCTGGAATAGGTTGCTGGGGTGAAGAACCAGCCCTTCCACAGGCAACCACACCATCTGCCCCTTCCTTGGAGAACCCACACGATTCTCCTCTGAATCAGACCAAGAGGGTCCAACTAACCCAGTACCCTGTTTCCAACAGGGGACAGCCGGAAATGCCTCCAGCAAGATCAAAAGCATGGGTGGTCAGCAACCCGTGCAAAATTGGTTGGCCTGGGACCCTAGGAACGTGAGAAGCCCCTGAGCCAGCCTTGGGGTTGAATTTCCATCCAGTGAAGAATCTCCTTCTTGCTTGGCTCTTCTTCCCGGTAGCAGAGAAACAAACCTCCCTGTTCCAAGACAGTCCCCTGAGAAACACGTGCTGTTGCTTGTGGCTGGGAAAGGAAGCCTGTGGCTGACCTCTCTCGGAAACAGGACACGGGGCTGGGCTGAGCTTTGCTCAGGCGCAGGAAGCACACCCTTGGTGTTTGCTAAATTTGTGCCAGCTGATCCACCACCAGCTTTGGAACAATACAGTGCAGGCTGGAGACCTGGTGTTCTCCTCTCGAGGCCGGACACTGCCCTGACCCAGTGGCTGCAAGAGCCTTCCTGAACTCGGTGCCCCCCCAAAAAGTTGCCATCTGACCCCCCCCACCACAACACCACAACGCTTGCAGAACGTGGCCCACCCTTCCTTACTCCTCTTCCAATTTCTGAGCCTCTGCTCCCCGCACTTCTGTCACAAAGGGTTCCACAAAACCGCTCCCCATCCTGGGAGCCACACGTGTGGTTGAACCGGCTTCGTGAGCACAACCCCGACTTGCGGGAGGAATTCCAAGGATGGGGGAAACGGCGCAACATTCATAACAGCCCCCAAGATGCACGTGCGACAGCTTCAGTGGGATTTTAACAAAGAAGTCCTCTCTTCGCTGGTTGCAGGCCACTGGCACCCGTGCAGGAAGCATAAAGGCAGGCTCTCTCCCGGGATGGGGGGGAACAGGCCGGGCTTTGTGGGTGCCCAAAACCTCCTGGCACAGCCGTGCGTGGGCAGAAGGCACTGCAGTGAAAATCGAGGCATATTGGCAGCTCATGGCACAGTGGAGGGAGCGAAGACACAGACTCCACCTCCGGCCTGCATTGCGCAAAGCATGTCCCACCTATGACATCGGGTTTCGCTTTTTGGATAAACCAATCGGCAGCATATGCACGCTCTTGCAAAGAGGGCTGCTTCCCGCCAGCAGCTCAGCTCTTGCACAGCTTATCTGGTAAGCGCGCTCTTGCACAGCTCAGCTTTCTACCGACAACGGCTGCCTGGGATCCCTGATAGGATATGCCATGCCGATCCTGTTCACCCTTATTATACCCTGCCTGGGGTGCCGCATGCTTCTTTGGACATGCACCCCACCCCCCACCCGGTGGACACACAGCTGCAGCATCACTCGATCTCGGCAGCCAATAAGCTGCCATTTGGAAAGCCTAGCAGCTCAGGCCTTGCAAAGCTTTTTGGAGTGGGGCTGAGGTCTTGCAAAGTCTTCTTTTCTTCTCCGAACTGCTGAGCAGAATTGTTTGGTGGACCACAAATGACAAAATAAACCCTTGGTAAATTGTTGGAAGGAAAAGGAAGGCGCAGACTGGATGCAGGTGCGGCTGGGTTTAGATTCTGCCGTTGCCCTCACCTTGAGAACGCACCTAGTTGGCACTGCCGGGTTTTCATGAGCGTGGGAAACACAGGACTGGCTTTCTGCAAAGCATACTTGCTCCGGCCCGTGTAATTCTTAACGCCTCGGATGAACCCGAGCAGTGCTGCACATTTCAGCTCGCTGACCGCACTGGCCAGATATGATGGCTGTTGGAGCCCAGGACACAAGGACAGAGATGGCCAGTTGCAGATCCCTTGGCCATGACTGCACCGGGAAGGTCTCCTGAGAAACCACAAATTCCAGCGTGTCTCCAAGATGCAGCTTGAGCAGGAGAACAGCAGAAGACAAAAACACACGGGCGGTGGGGGGGGGGGGTTAAAAGATCCTCAGCCTCCCTTCTCAGGCCAGGCTTGTGCCTGATTTTCTCCAGCTTCTTCGCACCTTAACCTTGGTGAAGCCCAGCTAAGGTCATCGGTGCTGCAGAATGAAAGGCTGAAGCTCGCCCGGACGTTTCGGCAGCTCCGGGATGGAAAACACCGCAACTTGGCCAAATTGTCGGGGCGCCCACAGCCGCTCCAGCCGGGGGTTAAGCCATGCAGGCTGGAGAGAGGTGGTCAGTTTAGGGTCTCCCCTTGACAGCCTGGTATTAAGAATAAATAAATTTCAGGCCTCGGGAAAACGGTCCACTCTCCAGGTTTGGCGCACACATCCATCTCGCAAAGTCTCTTTCCAGCCCGGAGGATCTGCTTGCAAGGAGGTGCACACAGAAAGACAAAGGGCTGCACAGAGCGCCTTTCACACCACGCCTGGCAAGGGGGGACTTGGAGGGGCCCTCGAGCTCCCCTCCTCGGCGGTGCCACAGATCACGGACCCTTCCTCAGCCGAGGGCCCACGCCCTGGGAGGTGCATGCTTCCAGGCGCTGGACGGCCGCCTGCCGCTGTCCCGAGCAGGCCAAGTCCGCAGTGGGCTGTAGGACGCTCTGCCGAGCCGGGCGGCACTTTGGCGCTTCTCGGTGCAAAGGAACGTGGCACGGAAAAAAATTCTGAATGGTCCCCCCTCCCTCGTGTTGTAGGAGTATGACATCAGACTGCGAGGGAGAGGGGGGATTGAGGAGGAGCTCCAAGGACCGGGGTGCGTAGAAATACACAAGACCACAAGAAAGGGAGGGGGGCAGTGCCGGAGGCTCCCCCAGCACTTTCCGAGCCCCCTTCCCCAAATTCAGCACTGGTGGCGTGAACACAAAGACCGGGGGGGGGGGTCACGCCAGGACGCGAGGTGGCAGGGCGGCCGCAGGGAGGTCCCTGCTGCGTCCAGACGCTGTGCTGCGGAGACCCCTGCCCCTTCCACACCGGCCAGTTCCCCTCTGGTCACTGGCCGAACCGAAGGGACGCGGCTGCCTGAACTCGGGCAAAGTCCTCAGCGGCAGAAAATCTGGTGGCCAGAAAGGGTGCCCCCGGGGCCCCAGCCCCAGAGGCGGGAAACGGGCATGCCCGACTTACCCAGGACCCCGGTCGAAGCCGGCGCGGCCGTCTCCCCGTCCACCGTGCCCCGCTTCTCCCGCCGCCCGTTCTCCAGTCCGGTGCCCGTCTCCGGCATGGTGGCTCCTTCGCTCAAGGTTGAGGGCTGGGCCACAAAGAGAGCATTGCACTGCGGCAGGGGCAGGATGCGGCCAGCTCATCCAAGCCCGGGAAGCCGCCGGGGCGCCTCGCGGCAGCCGGGGCAAGCTTGAGGGGCGGGCGGGCGGCGCTGGGAGGCACCGGGCACCCTCTGGGCCCGTGCCCACAAAGGTCCCTTTCCTGCCCAGGTGAGCCACCTGTCCCGGATGGTCCTCCCAAGGCAGCAAGCGCCGCCGAGCCAGCGAGCAGACAGGCAGAAGGAGGGACAAAGGAGAGGCGGAGGGGAGGGGAGCGAGGCGGCGGCTGGGGGGGGCAAGTTAAAGGCAAGGCGCTTTTAATAGTCTGGTTGGCCTGCGCCTCCCCAGCGCCATCTGCAGCAGAGCTGCCAGGGCGTGACTACTGGCTTCCTCCTTCCAGACCCATAGCTTCTCCCCACAACATGCGCTCCGCTCCCTCCGTGCACAGGAGACACACACGGCACGACACACCACAGGGCGGGAGGGTGCGAAGCGGCAGGTTTTGCTTCCTTGAAACAAAATGATCCTAACTTGCTTGCAGTTTTCGGAAAGCGCCTTCATTTTCCATTTGCGGGGCTGCTGGGCAGCAGCCAGACATCGCCTCTCCATCAGACCAAACAGAAATTGCATCAAGTGGCGTTGCCAAGAGAAGGCAGTCCACTCACAACGCGATCCTCACTCGTCTACTCAGACGCAAGTCCCCAGGGTGGCGTTCGTACACTAACTTACCTGGGCACAGGTCCAGCTGAATACACCATGCATCCGATGGCCGTTAATGGATTTTCCCTCTATTGCTTTGCAAGCAAAAATGGGCTGCCGAATTTTCTTCGGGAGGCACAGTGTACAGGGCTCCCTCCGCCCCCTTCACGCCTGCCTCAACACCCCCAGTGACGCTGCTGCTGCTGCTGCTGCTGCTGCTGCTGCTGCTGCTGCTGCTGCTGGATTTTTGCAACGCAAAGCAACGCAACGCAATGTGACTCCAACGACTACCACCAAGGCACAAGCCAAAACGACCCATCTGCACACAAACCACCTTTCAAAATTTCCCTCTGCAATGTGTGGGCAGGGAATTTCATTGAAATTCTCCCGGGGGGGGGCGGTTTGCCGGAGGAGGGGTTCTAGCACGGTTAATTCCTCCTTTCCAAAAAGGCTCATTTTAAGGTTTTAAAGAAAAGCCTCAGCTCTCATGGCTTTTTACTGCAAGTTTTAACACTGAGCTGAGAAGCCCCCCTGGCTGACACCTCCCATCAGTCCTAGCTAATGGTGAGGGCTGATGGGAGTTGTAGGATAAAACTTGTGGGCACTAGCAGTCTCTGCCGCTGATGGCCATTTTAAGATCAGACTGAATTCTCTATTACATTAAATTAGCGCTTTCTCCCCGCCGCCTGCCATGAATGTCAAATCCATTTTGTCTGGACGGCTGGAACAGGAGAGGGGGGGCTGATTCTTTTTATGGCATCGCCCCCATTTGTCCAGCTGCCTCCTTGCTGCCTCTCCTGAAGGATGAGGTGCGGAACCCGAAGGGCTGCAGGGCCGCGTCTCCACAAGCCGAGCCCCTTTCCTCCAGCTCCGTTCATTCAGCGGCTCCCTGCCTTTTGCACAGCTTTCCTCCTTACCTCTCTGAGGAACCGGGGACCTGAGGGGATTTCAGACGGGGCTTTGCGGCCCTGGCCCCGGCCACCCCCACACGCGGCCCCCGAGAGCCTCCCCGAAGTGGGTTCGGCCCGCAGGTTCCACACCCCTGCGTGACACAGGCTCTCGGCAGATGCTGCCTTCTTTCTTGTGCTTGGGGCAACCAAGCCGGGAGAAATATTTTATGGGACAGTCCCACTGCTTCCCCCAGTCTGCCCCCCCCCCCAAATGCTCCTCTTCCCTTGCCTCCTTTCCTCTGGACTCCTTCCCCGTCTTGTTTTCCTGGCTCTTCCCGACCTCAGACGGCTTCTTGGCCCTGAAGGTCAAACTGTTATTTCTAGAGACGACCCACAAGACGGGTGTAAAAATACCAGCAAAGTAACCCGACCTGGATACACGGTTCCTTCGCAGACTTTTTCTGTGGGGGGACTTGGGAAGTGCCTGCAATATGCCGGGGGTGGGGGAGGGGCAATTTTGGGGTGCATCTTATGGGCCGGGGTGCAGGGAAAGACTGCCCCCCTTGCAGGAAAGGCTGCATCCTAAAAATCCCCAGAGGGGTTAAGTCTGGGGCAGGGAACGGGCAGGGATCCAGCCCGTGTAAGCTTCACAGCTACACAGCATTCCTAAATGCTCAGCGCTGGGAATTGTCGAGACTCCTTTGGGCACACAAGGGTGCAAAACGAGCCAGCCTCCAACCTGACTCCTTCCCCCGTAATCTCAATCTCAGGCAGGTAACCTGAAAAATTTTCCCGAGATGTCGAGGCATATAAAAGTTTCAGATAGATAGGTAGATAGAAGAATATTTATACACTGTAAGATACCTAGGAAGGCCTCGACAATTATAGGTGGCCTATAATTAAAAGTATATCAATACATAACAAAGTGCAGGCTTTCAACATTGTCAGCCCCGGCCATGGATTATGGGAGTTGTAGTCCAGGCAGTTAGGTAGTGGGTTTCCTACCCAGATCTAGGTCCTACTCCATGAACTGAAAAAGGAAGAGCCTTAAAACTTTTTAAAACAAGGAATTCCTTTGACCATGTGCAGAGTGCTTTTCCTTTGAACTCTGAGTAGCCAACACTTCCTCTCTCAGCCAAGAGAGTTAGAGGCAAAGCAGGGGCAAACAGCACCTGTCCTTTGCTTTCGACCCTTTATTCTAAACCATTTTAATGAGGCTGTTAAGGGCCGCCTTGATTCGAAGGCAGCCGAGCCCCCAATTCAGGGTTCAGCTGCCACCTCACTGGGCAGCTTTACATGCTTAGCTCGCCTTTCCTCACTGGCAAAATGGTGGGGAAATGAGCAGGGCTGGCCTGGTCTACCTCACAGGGCTGTTGAGGGCGTTCTGAGACAACGGCCTGTGAACTGCTTCGCTAGTGCAAGCAAGACTGACTCATCCACTTCCACACTGGTCTGACATTAATAAATACAAATAAATATTAGACACCCAAAAATGGTTACTTAACATTTGGCTTGGCTTAGGGAGAAATCCAACTGTCCCACCTTACAAGGCTGTTGTGAAAATTCCCAGGATGTCTATTAATTATAGCAATGCTCCACTGCATGCACCTTTAGCCTGGAACCCCCCTGCACCCTCCCCACAATTTCCAGCACGGTTATAGCACTGTCTTTCTGTTCACTGTGCCAAAAACTTGCGATAACACAACAACATTGTATTATCAGTGTTGGATGTGGTCCTATGTAAACAGACAGAAAAAAGCCCCAGAGTTTCCAGTTCAACATGCACTGGATTCGGCCGTGATTAACTTAAAAATTTCCCATGCAAGGCACACACTGATAAAACATCAATAGGGTGTAACATCAAAACCATCCCCACAAAAGCTACTCCTCCACACACAAGTAAATTAACACAAATACAGGTAAAAGAGGAGAGCAGGAGAAAAGTTTAATGCCACACCAGGAAGCTCCAGGTGCCAAATCCCCCCCCCCCACAAATCACATGCTCTATGGGTGTCCCACCCTCTGTCCTGCAGCCTCACACACCTTAATCCCAATGGCATTCCACAGCATTTCCCTTCAGGTAAGCAAGGTAGGCCCTGTACAAGATCTTCCCACTGCAGTTGATGCTGGAAAAAACCTGCATTTTGGTGGGTGAGGGGGCGGTTCTGCCATTGGCACAAGTCACAATGTGTGTGATTTGGGGGCCGGAGGGCAAATCTTGAAATTTGTGCAAATGGTGTAAATTTTTAAAAAAAGACTGGCAATTTTGCATGAGGACACAAGATCACAAGACCACCTGTCCAGTATGTAACCCCGCTCTGTTCCCCCTGTCATCTTGTCCAAACCTTCACAGGTCAAATCACCTGTCCTTTCCCACCTGGTGATGTGAAGATGAAATCGGCAAGCTCTGGGATGAGTTAGGGATTCCGAAACTGCGAAGAATGATTAGAGGAGGGGGTACCCCTCTTGCAGGCTGCAAAGCGGAAGGGCAGGTCTGTGCCTGTGTGCATTTGTACAAGGTCACTAATAGTGTTTTTTCACTCGTTCAAATTTCAAGATCTCCCCCCCACTACATATTGCGGGCATAGGACCCCCCCACCGCGGATCCTACCTACTGGGTCAATGCACAAAAAACAAATTCAACATGGGTTGGAGCGGGGGCAGAGTAATATCCAGAGGTCTGAAACAGAAAAATCTGCTCAGTTTTCACCCCCGCAAATAGAAGCTGCTACTCTCAAGCTGCTGCAGGGGATAAAACGGAGGGATGGAGATGCGAGAATTTCATGCAAGCTTCTTAGGAGGCAGGCAAAAGCGGTGTGCAACGGGCAATGAAAATAAAACCAGTACATGCAAACAGCAAGAGATTTGCTTGGGGCCAGCTGGGGATGATGGGAGTTGAACTGCAAACCCTGTGGAGGGTAGCAGGCTGGGGAAGGCTGATCTGACGCGGTGGAGGATGGGGGCTACATGTCCATGGATTGCAATTCCCACTCTGCTGACCACTAGTCGTGCTGGCTAGGGATGATGGGGTTTGCAGTCCAAAGGCTTCACTCCCTTTGCGCGAGAGAAGGAGCCAAGCGATGCTCCAGTCAGAATCCTTGCCAATTTCAGCCCTGATGAATTCGATGTTTTACAGACACCGTTGCTGCGCGGGCGGGTTGGGATTTTATTGATGGGTTTTTTTTGGCTATGGACATTTTTCTTGCTGCAACGAGAAGGCGAGCGCGGGGGGAGCGGGGCTGCTCGAAAGGGGGTCGCCGGCCTGGCCAAGAGTGAACGTCTGCACCACAAGCATAGAAAGCAACAGGAACCCAGCTCCCCACGAGCACAACCGCCTCCACGCCCTACCCGGTTCTGCGCCCCTCCGATTGCTGCCTACTCGCAGGCAGAGACCACCCGGACAGGGTTCCCCGGTCCTGGAAGCCAGGCTGCGACGTCACCGGGGTGAGGCAAGACGCAGGGGCCTTCAATTCACCTGCGGTGGGCTTTGCGATGCTAGAAGAGTCTGCCGCACCTCTGAGCATGCACAGAGCGTCTTCCCCGCCCCCCCAGCCCCCGCCCCCGCCCCGGGCATGCCTGGCAGCCGAGGAAACGACACGTTAGCCGTCCCCAAAGGTAAGCTCATTGGACTTCTGCTCGTGCTAAGGGGGGAGAGGCACTCTGCACATGCTCAGCCGGGCGCCTTGCCCGTCCCGCCGCCCCTGCGGCAGCGCCGGCAGCCCCGCCCCTCCCCCTCCGCAAGGCGGCCTGGCCCCCGCGCGGACGCGCGCGCGCACGCCCGGACCGGAGCGCGCTCACCTGCGCGGGCCGCAGGGCCGGAGGGGCGCCGCCAGGAGGCCC